AAACAAACGAAAATGCTCTTTAGAATATTTCTGGGAATGAAAGAAGAGAACACTGCCACTTACTGGCCACCTGATTTTACTGAGTTTTATTTTATCATCTGTAAAACAGGGATAGAAACCAACCAAGCTTAGTGAAGACTGAAATAAAGTACTGATCATGTTAACTAGCTTATATGTTTATCCATTTATATAGCTCTTGCCTTTTGCTCCTGTTGCTTCACTGGCAATAGGTCCTAAGTGTGTGTGTTCTTACTTTTCCTTCTCCTAGAGCATACTTGATATTTGCTACCTTTGCATATAGTTTTTTGTTTTGTTTTGTTTTGTTTTTTTGGTTTTTCGAGACAGGGTTTCTCTGTATTGTTTTGGAGGCTGTCCTGGAACTCACTCTGTAGACCAGGCTGACCTCGAACTCACCAAGATCCACCTGCCTCTGCCTCCCGAGTGCTGGGATAAGGCGTGTGCCACCAACGTCCGGCTTGCATATAGTTTTACATCAAGACTAAATCTTTTTCTTTAGACTAAAAGGGAATTGTGGTGAGATATCCACCCCGCCTGCTCCTGTGGTACTGACCATGCCCAACATCATCTTTTTTCTTTCTTTCTTTTTTTTTTTTTTTTTTTGAGACAGGGTTTCTCTGTGTAGCCCTAGCTGTCCTGGAACTAGTTTTGTAGACCAGGCAGGCCTCAAGCTCAGATATCCACCTGCCTCTGTCTCCACACCCAGCTCATTTACTTAATTTTAGAGACAGGGTTGGAAATAACCCAAGCTGGTGGCCTTATATCAAGTAGTACCCAAGACTTTGTGCATCCTTCCAAACTACATCCCCAGCACTAACTGGTTCTTAAAAGGTTTTTTAGTAGCAATGCCTAAGCTTTTCTCATCTTCTGAATGCTAAACATCCAAATTCTGAGTCTTATCAATCAACTTTAAAACTTGACTTTGGAATACCAGATGGCTCAGTGGGTAGATGCGCTTACTGAACTCCCTATGTAGCCCAGGCTGACTTCAAGCTTAAACTTGATTCTCAGGGTTGGAGATATGGTTCAGCCATTAAGAGCACTGCCTGCATGGCAGCTTACAACTATCTGAAACTCCAATTCCAGGGGATCTGACACCCTCACACAGACATATATGCAGGCAAAACACCAATGCACAGGAAATAAATAAATCATTAAAAAAAAAACCTGCCGGCCGTTGGTGGAGCACGCCTTTAATCCCAGCACTCGGGAGGCAGAGACAGTCGGATCTCTTGTGAGTTCGAGGCCAGCCTGGTCTACAGAGCGAGTTGCAGGACAACATCCAAAACAACACAGAGAAACTCTGTCTCGAAAAACCTAAAACAAACAAAAAAACTTTGGAGGCCAGGTGGTGATGCACATGACTTTAATGCCAACATTCAGAAGGCAGAGACAAGTGGATCTCTGAGGCCAGTCTGGTCTACAAAATGAGTTCCAGGACCGCCAGGGCTATTACACAGAGAAACCCTGTCTCAAGAAAAACAAACAACAACAACAACAACAACAAAAAACTCTTTGGATTTTCTTGGCTTTAGGCTCCAATATATTGGGATTATGAGCATGCAATCACCAGTGTTTTTTGGGTTATTATTATTACTATTGTAGTGTTATTACTACTGTTACGGATCAAATCCAAGGCCCTGAGCATTCACTCTACTACTGAGATACACCCCAGCCCAGTCAGAGAATTTTTTTCTGGTTACATTTCCTATAAAAAAAAAAAAAGATATTAAACTCTAGCTTGAGAACTGGCAAGATGATTAATTAAATGGGTAAAGACAATTGCCTCCGAAATGGACTGAGTTTGACCTCTGGAACTCATATGCAGTGAGCATGACCCCTACAAGTCGTGCAAATTGTCCTTTGACTTCTGCATGTGTGATGTGGCATGTGCAAACAATCACTAAGTAAAAATTAATAAACACACACACACTAAACTTGAATTCTTCTCAAAATGTAGAACAGTGGTTCTCAAACTGTTGGTTACAACCCTTCAGGATAATCTAAGACCATTGAAAAACACAGATATTTACATTATGATTCCTAACTGTAGTAAAACTGGTTATGAAATAGCAATGACAATAATTTTAGGATTGGGGATCACCACAACATGAGGAACTGTATGAAAGGGTGGCAGGTTTGAAATGGTTAAGAACCACTGATGTAGAGGAAAGAACACAGTAAACTAAAACAATGGAATTTAATCTCTTAAAAACAAATTTTACATTAGAACATAAGTAGAAGTGAGGCATGGTGGTTCACACCTGGGACTGCTGAAAATTTGAGGCTGGCACAGTCAACACCATAAGTTCTAGACTATCTCAAGCTAAAAGTATGACATATTTCACCCCCCAAAAAACAACAAAATCTAAAGATATGCAGATTTTACTAGACACATACATGCATCATTTAATGACAAAGATACATTCTGAGAAATGTGAACTTGAGCTACTTCTGTTGTCATATAAGCATCATACAGTGGGCTTATATAAATCCAGTTGTATAAACTACTACACTCCTGAGCTATGTGGCAAAGGCATGGTCCTATATGTATGTAGTTCCCAAATCACTCATGATTGCACTGCATAATTCAGTATCCTGGGATCTGGTTCCAGTGCTCTCTCATACCAAAATCCACAGATGTTCAAAATGACATAACCCATACATATACATATACCATAAGTCACCATTAGGTTATGAATAAGTGTAACATGTAAGTATTACATGAATAGTTGTTTAGGGAATAGTAACAAGGGAAAAAAAATTCTGCTTTTGCAGGACAGACAAAACCACCATAGATCTAACTACCCAGCACAGAAGAGACAGATCAAAGTGAACAATGCTCAGATGAGAGTGAGGCAGAACAGGGTCTGTGAGAGAGGATGAGACAGCCCCTACACACTGTCATTAGCCTGCATTCACCATAATGCAGCCCAAAGCAAATCCAAGTTCTGCGCTTTGAAATTTTTTGAAGGTTTTAACCAAAGATTGGTTAAATACAAAGATGCAGAAGCCATTGCCAAGAAAAACCAACTTAACAATTTCAAATTGTTGTTTAATAGGAAGATGGAGCTTGTGAATTTCCAGCATTTAAAAAAAGAAAGAAAAAAAAAAAAAACAAGAAACCAAACAACAAAACTAACAAAACTGGACAGCTCATGCATGCCTTTATCAGGAGGCAGAGGCAAGAGGATTATGAGTTCAAGACTACCCTGGGCTAGTGAAAGCCTGACTCAAACAACTGGAACAAGGAGAGGAGGGCTTAATAGGAAAGAGCACTAACTGCTCTTGCACAGGTTCGGCTCCCAGCACCCACACAATGGCTCACAGCCACCTGTAACTCCAGTTCCAAAGGGTCCATACCTTCTTCTAATCGAACTCCATGGCTTCTGTATACACATGGGTACTTAAATACACTCAGGCTCACATACACATACATAAAATATCACTTAAAAAAAAGGAACAGCAATAAAAAAGCAGCAAAGCGTAATGTTATACCATATATGAACCTCGAAAATATGTTACATGAAAGCAGCTAGTAAAAAGTGGGTACATATATTAGCATCCTTTTATATAAAATGGGAAAGTCAAGAGTAGGCATATCTGCTGGACACAGTGTTGCACTCAGAAGGCTTAAGATGGGCAGATATCTGTGAGTTGTGGAGAGCTGAAGACCAGCTTGGTCTACAAAGTGAGTTGCAGGAGAGCTACAGACTCTAACCCTGTCTAAGAGAACCAGTCTCAAAAGAAAAACCAAACAAAAAAACAAATCTATAAGACAGAAGTAGATTGGTTGATAGGTATACAACTCTGCATATACTGAAAATTTCTGAACTGTGCCTATGTGTCTAATTAACTGCGATCATCTCTGAAAAAGGGTGGGGGGGCATGGACGTGTACAATCTCAGCACATTGAAGGCTGAGGCAGGAGGACCGCCAAGTTCCAGGCAACACCGGCCAAAAACAAAAACAAACATAAAAAACAAGAAAGACAAGACCGGAAGGAAGGGGAGGGGGCGGGAGGGAACAGAGAGGAGGGGGCGGGGAGAGGGGAGGGCACACGACTAAGACCCAAGGACCAGGGACCGGCATCACTACAAAGCCACAATGAAAATTAGGAACGTAAATCAACTTTAAAAACTAAGCTCATCACCAGCGATGTTTTAAAGAGTTCAACCTCAAAATTTCTTCCCCTATTCCTAACAAGTACAAAAACGTAAATCAAAGAATCCTGAGCACAGTTGGTTCTTAACTAAAATAGTTAAATGCCTTCTTCGGCTCTATCCAACTTCTAAACTGTAGGGGGCTTCCATCCTCCGTGATTACGGAAGTAGTACTTTTCAGCAGCAAGATCAAGAAGGAATTGTCAAAATAAGATGACACTTGCTTAGCCGCGATGCAAAAGCTTCAAAAACCCAGAAGGGACGTCACAGACACATTTCTAAGTCTGTGCACGTGTTAGCCTGTCCCTAACACCAACCAGCAACTTGCACCATTCACCCGTATCGCGGCTCGCTCCCTATAAACTGATACTTGTACTATCAAGCCCATAGATCTCATTCGTTTAAATTGACAGGTAGAACCCTCAGCCGGCTCCCAGTCCAGCCCCACAAGCCTCCGCCCTGCCCCTCCCCACCTCCAAACCCACACACGTGTTAGCACGACACCGCCCCACCGGGTCCCACGTGCACCTGGTCTAACACTCCCCACGTGTGGGTGCTCCACGGCCTTCCTCGGGTAGCTGAGGTCACCCATGACCCCAAGTCTCCAGAGGTAGGAGAGAAAAGCCGAGGCCCAGGTCTCTGAGGTCCCAACCCTATGGGGAGTGTCCACACCCATCCTCTCTACTAACCCCAACAAATCCAAGGGCCGGGGGCGACGGCCCCTTTAAGACGCGGCCCAGTCGTAGCCCGCAGAGAGGGGCGCATAGGGGCCTACACTACACCCCCTCCGTTCACCCGCCCACGTCTACTCAACCTCACCTCGGGCCGAGGGGCCCCGCCGCCGCGGCGGCGGCGGAGGGGGGGTGGGGTGCGGGCGGGGTCCGGAGGGGGGGGTCGCCCCGCCGACTGTGTAGCCGCGGTTCGCTCTCTGAGGCCGAGGGACGGTGACTGCGTTGGACGGGAACGCTCCTAGCTCGCTCCCTCGGCGGCTCCTGGGACCCCAAGATGGCGGCGGCGCTGAGGCGGCTGCGGGCGCTGGGCCGGCGGCGGCGGCGGCCACTTTCACTCACTGAGAGGAGCGGAGCAGGGACACGGGGAGCCATGGCGGGGGGGAGGAGAGGCGCCATAGCCAGGCCAGAACAATCGAGCAGCTACTCGGCTGGCTTACCCCCGCCCCGCCCACGCTCTCTGCTAGTCGCCAGCTCGTGTCCACCCACAGTGCCGCTAGGGTCGGCCTCGTGCAGCTTGTACCCCGCCGCTGCCGCCTGATGCCCCTCGCGGACCGAAGTTCTGGGGGAGACCCTCATCTATACTATCTGAGTGCAGATTGGTCGGGGCTGGGACTGGCGAAGATTGCCGAAAGGCGACGGGGAGGAGGAGGATGTCATCGCTGGAGTGAGCAAGCACATCTCGCGGGAGCAAATGTCGCGAGAGCTCAGCGGCCCAGCAACCGCCAAAGAAAGGTTACTTTTCCCGGAAGTAACGTCAATGGAACCCGCCCAAGATCCTAGGAATAACTTTGTACTTGCGGGCAGCCGGTGGGAGGGGCTACCTGACGCTCCCTCTGAAGTTCGCTCCAGGTAGTGGGCGGACCTTGAAGTCAGCTTGGGCTTACCCTTGTAGGTGCCAAGACAGTTGTTAGCCTTGGGGATGTCCCCAAGTCGTGTTCAGGAAGGCGTTGCCGACCCTTGGCTCAAAACTGTTGGCACAGAGGCGCTTGAACCTTCCATGCACTTTTCATTTCCCTAGCGGGGTGAGTCGCCACCACACGTGCGGCCGCAGAATTTGGGGGCGAGGGGAGATTGTATGTGATTTTGTTTAGTTGTTATTTGTCTGGGTTTGTTTTGACACAGAGTCTCGCTCTGTAGCCCAGGCTAACATCAAACTCAGGGAGAGTCTCCTGTCTCAGCCTCCCAAGTGCTGAGATTACAGTGTGCGCCACCATGACCAGCTCTCTTCCCATCTGTATTTGATAGATACTGGGTTTGGAGAAGTATAAAGAATTGTTGGTCTCCACCCTTTCGTTTTTGCAAGAATCGATTGTTGGATTAATATTGTCCGAACCGTGCATTGAGCGACTCCAATTTGGTTCAGTTCACATGCTTTGGAACTGAACTGTTTATAAAAAGAAAGACTGGTAAAAAAAGAAAATTTCTTAGCCGGGCGTTGCACGCCTTTAATCCCAGCACTTGGAAGGCAGAGGCAGGTGGATCTCTGTGAGTTCGAGGCCAGCCTGGTCTACAGAGCGAGTTCCAGGACAGCCTCCAAACAATACAGAGAAACCCTGTCTCGAAAAAAAAAAAAAAAGAAAATGTCTTTCCTTTTTATTATTATTTTGAGACAGGGTTTTTCTGTGTAGCCCAAGCCATCCTGGAACTCACTCTGTAAACCAGGGTGGCCTCGAACTCGTAGAGAACCGCCTGCCTTTGCCTCCCGACTGATGGAATGTTTCTTGGTCTCCAATTGCCTGAAATTCGGGAGAAAAAAATTACCTGTAAACGAGACTTTAAATTATACAGTTAATAGTAACAGTTATTTTGTAAGAGGGTCCAGCGAGACAGTGAAGTGGATAAAAACACTGGGTGCCAATTTTGACAAAGTGTGTTCAACTCCTGAACCCACATGGTACAAGGAGAGAGCTGATTCCTCTTTATTGTCCTCCGACATACACACACACAGATGTAATTTTTTTAATTACAAGAATGATTTTGCAAAAATCAAACCGATTACAGAGGGAAGCCCATATATTATCTTTGAAAGAGAGAAGACAAGTGAAAAGAAGACCTCCAAGAAGCCTTGTTTTGCAAAAAAAAAAAAAAAAGCTTGCTCGGTAAAGAAGCAAAAGTCATGTTTCTAGAGGCAAAAAGCCTAATCTTGCCCCGATTGGTACCAAATGCGAAACAACTACAAATGCTCAAAGTCCGCTAGTGGCTCCCCCACCATAAGCTCAACAGCAAAAAAACTGTTGAGAGAATGGACCCCCACCTGTCATGGTGCCCAATGAATTGGTCAAGGTGCCAGCAATGCCCATGCAGAAAAAAAAAAAACGAGATTTAAACTGAAGGTGTGCTTTCTCTCTCTCTCTCTCTCTCTCTCTCTCTCTCTCTCTCTCTCTCTCTCTCTCTCTCTCTCTCTCTCTCTCTCTCTTCTCTTCTCTCTCTCCCTCCCTCCATCCCTCCATCCCTCCCTTCTCTCTCTCACACACACACACAATTATTTTCTACTTCTGATCAATTTAATTCTAAAAGTAATATCCATAACAAGATACCCATCCCACACGAAAAATGTTTGCCTCCATTTCAGCTACCTAGCACCTCATTTGAACTGATTCAGGTGCTCCTGAAACTATAAACTATCTAGTGTGTCCACTGAATCCTGCTAGAGGCAAATGAATCTGTCCCTGCAGTACATAGTGTATGATACATAACTGACTATGAATTGGCTCTTAAAATGTATAGAAGATACCTATCCATAAAACTTACAGAATCTTGACAGAGCATTAGAGGTTATTCAAAAACTTCTGGATGACCCTTCAAAAAAAATTGGAGTGTAATCTGTCAGACATACTGGTGACGTCTAGATGCCAAACCTGAGAATCCCTCCCCACCCAAAAAAAGATAAACATCAGTTTTATCAGCCAAAACATTCCTGATGATAAAATGAAAACTACAAAAGGTGGCTGTTACTTTAACAATGTGCTTATGGACTAGAGAGATGGCTCAACAGTAAAAGAGCACTGACTGCTCTTGAAGAGGACCTGGGTTTGGTTCACAGCATCCACAGGGTGACTCACAATCATCAGTAACTCCTATATGCATGCCTATAATATACATACATGCATCCACACTCATGCACACCAAATCTGGGGGAGTTTTTATGTTTTTATAATGCCTAGGAGAGAATGGCTTTTAAAGTTCACTGTAACAGGTCAAACACAGGATTTGAAAGAGCAATGGAAAATAAAGTGACAGGCCTGGCTTGCAGGAGCATTCATATTTTAGGGTGGAAACAAAGAATTATTAGAAACTAGAGGATAGAAGCAGTGATGAGCCCCTCTAAGAAATCAGTGCAATACTGTAAGAGAGAAGGATGCAGAATTAAAAATTGCCGAAGGTGAAATAGGTGACTCACTTGCTCTTCACACATGAGGACATAAGTTCAGATTCATAGCACCCATGTGAAGGCAGGGTTTAAATGAGTTCACTAAACCCAAGATAAATAATAAATAGGTGTTTTATTGGGGAAGAATTTACACAGATAAGAGTAAAAAATTGCCGTGGACTTCCTGCTCCAGAAGATGCAGTCTCTACCCTTCTGATGGATGCTCTTGGAGACCCAAGAGAGCATGAGCCTGCAGCTCCTCTACCTTAAAAGGGTTATATCTGTACCTGAAACCACACCCAAAGGGTGTGGCCACTACCACAAGTTCACTGTCGAGGCAAGATGCCACTACACCCATACCCTATATATATGTCGGTGTATGTTTGTAATCCTAGTGCTGAGGGATAGACAGGCACATTCTAAGTCCTCACTGGTCAGCCAACCTACCCAAAAACTTCCCATTCTTTCAATAAGGAACCTTGTCTCAAACTGATAAAATGGAAGGTAATAGAGAAAGATATCTGTTGTCTGTTCTGCACTCCATGTGATTGAAGCAGGTCAGACATCCATGTGCATACAATACACACTATACAAGCACAAAACGTCAAGCTGAAGAATCTAAAAGAATTGTAAAACAAGGTTAAAACTTTGCTATTCAAATAACCCAATTAGAAGGAGGAATTTCTGGTGAAAAATGAAGAACCCCAACAGTTTTCTTAGATCTTACATGCCCTCTTTTGGTCTGGAAAGGTGACTCAGTGGTCAAGAATACTTGTTGTTCTTATAAGAGGGCAGGAATGCAGTTCCTAGCACCACTATCAGACCAGCTCCATGTTATTTAACGCCATCTTACACATGCATACATACACATGAAAATAAAGTAATTAGGTATGGTGGTGAATGCATTTAATTCTAGCACTCAGAAGGCTTTCTGAGTTCCAGAGCAGTTAGGGCTATATAGTGAAACCCTGAATTAAAAAAGAACAAAATACTGGTATTGGTGGTGCACACCTTTAATCCCAGCACTGGGGAAGGTAGAGGCAGGTGAATCTATGTGAGTTTGAGGCCAGCAGGGTCAACAAAACTAGTTCTAGAACAGTCAGGGCTACAACAGACCCCTGTTTGGAAAAGCCAAAAAATAAAAATTTAGATATTTTTTAAAGATGTATTCATTTATTATGAATACAACATCCTGCCTCTATGTATGTCTGCATGCCAGAATACGGCACCAGATCTCATTATGGATGGTTGTGAACCACCATGTGGTTGCTGGGAATTGAACTCAGAACCTCTGGAAGAGCAGTCAGTGCTCTTAAACTCTGAGCCATCTCTCCAGCCCCAAAAAATTTAAATATTTTAAATGGCTTCCCATATCGCATAAAGGAGCTTGTAGAACAAATGGGCAGTCAGTGAGGAACAAGTTATATGGGAACTACTAATTCTGCCATGACCACACATCTCTTAATTTTAAAAAGTAAGGTGTTGCTCCGGCGTTGGTGGTACATGCCTTTAATCCCAGCACTCAGGAGGCAGAAGCAGGCAGATCTCTGTTAGTTCGAGGCCAGCCTGGTCTACAGAGCTAGTTCCAGGACAGCCTCCAAACAATACAGAGAAACCCTGTCTCGAAAAACCAAAAAATAAAAATAAAAAAATAAGGTGTTTCAGTGGGAAAAACACTTGGCATGCAAGCCTGACAAATTAAGGTCAATCCCCAGAATGTGTAATGGAAGAAGAGATAAAACTTCTGAAAGTTGTCTTCTGACCTCCACATGTGTTCTGTGACACGTATACATATACATTTATACACGTTATTAATAATAAGCTATGTGACTATGAGGGAGCCAGTGGGAGGCCTTAAGCTAGCTTTTCTGTAGTGTTTGGGGTGCCTCCTTGGTGATATGAGCTTTAAACATAACTTTCTAGATAAGCCTGAATGCTCAATTCCTCTACTTGACGTGCTCACAAAATAATTGGGTAACTTTTCACCAGTCTGAGTAGGGGTAGGAGTATGACCTGAACTTGCCTGTACCCTGAAGATTCTAAGGCTACAGAAAACTGAGTCTTTAGAGTAAGTAGGAGACAACTTTGACCAGGTTAGAGAGGTTATAAAGCAAATAGAAACTAGGACATACCCAGACTGCTGTAAGTTATTGGGTAATCTTAAAGGAAGGCCATGAAATACATAACCTCACAATACCCTTAAGAGGAATGTAGTCAGTCCTGGTGGCCTTTAATGTTAAAATAAGTCATCATAAGACCAAGCCATATATAACATCCCCATCTTTTTTATTCTTTGTCTCTGTGTAGCCCTGGCTGTCTTAGAACTCATTTTGTAGACCAATCTGATCTTGAACTCACAGAGATCTGCCTGCCTCTGCCTTCTAAATGCCATTCCCA